CTTTTCTTCAGCCATTTTGCGTGTGATTCCCAGGCGAATCCGTACCGAAGTACGACCTCGTCAGGCTGAGGATGTCTGCGAACTAACTATGAAGGTTGACTGCGACCTTGAACTAGAAAAAGATGCTTGCGCGACGAATGCAAATCCTCGTGACTATTTGGCCTCCATTCGGCACGTCTTCAGCTTCACTCTCCAAACCACCTGTGGCGGGGCTTAGACCATACCGGTCGGCCTCTCTGTCTGCCTTACGTGTTGCCCACCAACGCCAGAGTGACTGGAAAGATAGGCTTCGTGATGAGGACGGTACATGGGCACGCGACTTGGTATTGCTGTGATTGGTCAGAAAGGCGGGATATCGGGGAAAGATAACCAAGGTTGCACATGCTCGTATGCACAAGGTTGCTAGGCCAAACTAAGTGCGCCACGGTCGACAAACATTGGTGGATGGTACAGGACGTCCTCTCAGCCGCGCCTTAGTCGCGTTCCGGTGTACATTTCAGGCTACGTGTTGCAGCTAGGCGACAACTCTGGTAATTGATAGGGCCGAACTACATTGTGGAGACAACGTTCCTCATAGTGGATATTGCTTTCCTCTGGGCGTGCGTTCTGTGTGGACTTCCTGTGCAATACAAGCAGGATATTGCCAATGCAGCTGATAACGAGTACGCCGCATGCGGACAAGATCGCGAGCTGAGAGTATGTCAGATAGTGTTACGTCCTTGACCTACATACATTCGAGGCTCTCCAGGGATGAAGCTTTGGTTAACTCCCAGCTAACGGTTTCCCAGTGATGATTGCAGTTAGAGTGCATTGACGATGTCCATATCCAGCAGCTCTACCGGCCCTTCGGCGCGTCGCTCGTCGTTGGCGATGGACTACTTCCAGGTGTATTCAGCCTCATCAGGATCGCAGTCGAGTAATCTGCTACAACGACCAAGGCGGCTGTCGTTTCTGAATGCGCCCGATGTCGCGACGTCGATCTCATCGTTAGGATGGGTGGCAACATGCTCATCGAAGCAGATACGATTATACGACGTGAAGAGCGCGAACAGAAGTCGGACTATCCAGCCCAAAGCCGTCTTGAATATTTCGATGATTCTGAAAGATGAAGAGATCCGTGGAATTGCTCTCTCGGAGGATCTACTCGCAGTGATCACCCACAATCGATTGCTGGTGTATGACGAGTATCGCACAAACAACGGCCATGTGCCTAGCCTCGTGAGAGAAGAGCGAATTGACCAGGACGGAAACTGGACCCCGAGATCCGTGTCGATCTCACAACTTGGACGCCAGTCTGCCGAGGGAGGAGCAACGGCGAGCATCGCAGTGGGTGGAGAGGGAGTGAGTGCAGTGAAGATTTTCACATACAGGTACATGCCGGCCTGGAACGTTCAGGGCGACCATGTAGTCCTAAAGTGTCCTCAAAACAACGGTGCTGTCAAGATTGTTGGGTTCTCGCCCTGTCGAAGTGATGCCATATATGGGCCAATGGTGTTTGCTTTGACAACAGGCAATCACTTGTATTGTTGGGTTATCGCTCGCCTGGATCCTTGCTGGCACGTTGACTGTAATGCGAGAAGCAATGAACGCGTAAGTGGCATGTTCCAAGACCCGGCGCAAAGCTGACTCCAGGCAGGCGTATCGCGATGAGATAACGAACGCGGCTTTTACCATCTCTCCAAACGGTCGGCCTTACATCCTCTGCACCGTCGACCACCAACCACGTTCACACCTCCCAGCGACCTTCCTCGTGGCAATCGACACTCTTGGCTTCGATCCACACATTCTCCGTCAACCAATAAGGCCCATTTCTGATAGGGTAGTCGGCACGAGCGTTGTCGCTGGAGTTGCGAGCTTCAACGGCAGGTTTCTAGTGGTTGTAGAAAGGGAGAGGAATAGAGACAAGATGAAGCTGCTGGCATTTCAGGGTGCACTCGGGGGTGGCTTGACATGTTCCGCTGCCCACACAACAACGTGGGAAGTCGAGCTGCAGAGCAACAATACCGGATCTTCAACAATCTCAATCATGATAGAAGAGCAGCAAGATGCCCTGGAGATCATCGCGGTGGATGGACGCGGCCATGTCGTCTATTCGGGCGTGAGGGTGTTGGGCATGCCACAGGGCCCAATTCGGCCCATTGCGCCACCTAGAAGCTCCATCGTTTCCGAGCTCCCGTTCGACCCGATCAGAAGAGAATTGTCGTCGGACGAAAGTAGCCGCCACTCTGTCACGCCTTCTTATCGGGGGATGAACAGCCTCGAAATTGTTCGTGGCTGACTGATGGCGATGACTCGGGCCATTACCATAGCCCTTTCCGAAAGCGGTGGATGCAGGCGCGATGGACTGTTTTGGGTATGGTGTTTATGTGAGCGGGTAATAGAAGTTGCACGCTGGTCGCGTCAGTATCGCGTCGCGAACTAGTGCTGGCTGACTAAGCCTGCCTCCGTCATCTCCAGGCTCCCCGGGGCCATCTCTCACAATCGGCAATCGCAACCCAACTCGCCCTGTCTATCCGCTCGCACACATACAACGCCAACAATGTCGCGTTGGCGGACGAGTTCCCATATATCCGAGCTCTCATGATCGCCAGCCAAAAGCCAAGATGATGTTGCTTATAACACCTCATACCCGTCATCAGCACGCGGCTTGAACGCGATGGGACGACCTTTACCAACACTCCAAAGCTGTTTCTCGGATTGGCCACTTTCGAGGGTTGCGCGTTAGGTACGACAAGCGTGCTTCGAGACGCATCTTGGCGGAGCAGCAGACCAAGCTTTCTTCGCGCTTACCAGTTTGTTCCCTTAACCCACGCAGCGTATCTCGCTTTCCACATGGAGGGCTACTCATGCCAGACATGCGAGGTGGAGGAAAGCTCGATAGGTGAACAATACAACGTGTCTGGCATATATAGCTACTCACCCTCAACACTCAAGACACATCTTCTATCACCCATTTCTTCCTACTGATCGCACACTACCTAAGATTCTAGTCATACTCTGACACTCCTGTTCAGTGCTCCAACAAGCCTACACTTCAGCTACCAAGACAGCCCCCTCGAGACGATTCACGGCACGCTCCCATCCAAAGATGATGTTCCGCGCCGCTCTTCTCTGCTTCACTGCACTCTTCTCGCAACACGCTTCTGGCGTACCATACCCACAGCCAAACTCGACATTGCTCGCGAACAACACAATTTGTAACTCCACCGTCCGCTTTTGCGAAGGCGATCCCAACGCCGTCAACCCTCCTCCCCTCGGTTCGGGAGAATACGTATGCCACGAAGTTTACCCGACCGATCTCTCTGTCATCAACGCGCGCTACCCCGATTACGACGTCGACCACCTACACCAAGCAAAGCAGTTCTTCATGCTACGTCGTCAGGTCAAAGATGCTGGAGAAATTGCCACACGTGTACAGTTTCAAGGCCTACCGAACAGCACGTCGAACTACACCTGCCGTCTCGAATTCGTCCTCCCCCGCCTTGAGCTCCAGAAGATCTCTGGCCCGAACCCAAGCTTTCATGTATACCAAGTCGAGCGCGAAGCCGGTGCGATCGCTACATGGAATACATATGAGGCGGAGAAGGACGCCTTGCTGTTCGGCACGGTCAACGGCGAAAGCCAGGCGCTTGAGAGGACAAGGAGTGTCGGTGGCGTAGCAGCTGTCGACGAGACGGCTTGTAATGAGACAATGTCATTTATGATGGCAATGATGTACGACAGCCCGTCTGCGCCGAATTACTGGGAGTTCTCGAACGTTGCGCCTCCCGCGTTCCCGGTACAGGGGTTCAGGATTGTTTACGGATGTTGAGTGAGGAGTTAGTGCCTATGGTGTAGTCATGAGATGGGGCTGAATGCCATGCGAAGGGGCTATCACTACACTAGTATTTTGACTGCTTAACCTTGCTCGTACGACTTCTGCCTCGCGTATTGTGGTCAGTACCTGAGTAGCGCTCCAGCACGTACGCAAAGTTTTCGCACATCGTGCACTTCATGTTACGGTCTACAGTACCGCGATAAACGGAATGTGACCATGACTATGCTCATAGCGTGGCGACTCTTGTGGAATATAGAAAATCCATGTGCATGCCTACCATGCGGCCGAGCATGGACACAAGCGGCTGTCGCATAGCTCGATTTGCTCACAATATCAAGGCTGCCAGCTTGACATCTACTGCAGCAGCTTGCGCTACTGAAAACAGCGCATGGCTGTATTTGCCACAAGATGTAGCTGCTGCGATGGTTCCATCACCTAGGCAGTGTATGGTCGGCTTCGTGGGCAGCCGTCCTCGTCCTTCCCGCAATCGGACCGTGCACAGTAGCGCACGAACTGCGGCACCTTCCCTCGTCGACTTTCATCTCTCCTTCCAACCAGCGACTTCGCCTTTTCACATGCGCAGACAGCAACACAATTCAGGAACTAATCTAGAGGTCGAGGGGGGCGACACGGCTGACGTTTAACCTCAATGCAAATGCTGAGCCTACCCCGGGGAACGCGATTGCCGTTCTACATCATGCGCGAACCTCAAATAACTCGCTTGAAAATTAATGCCTCTTCCTGTCAAGAGTACAAGCGCAAAGTCGCACCGTAGCGTCATCAACACGCGTTGTGTACAATTGGTTTGCTATGGCGTCCCCAGCTGCAGCAATTACACAGCCCTCTTCGCGGGTCGCTGATGTCCAGGCTAGCCGGTTCAATCTCCAACAGCCACTGACATCCCACCAGAAGCCGAATATGTGTGCGGCGTACGCAAGGCTGATTCGTTGCTTCACGTCCTGCATGTGGCGTGGCGGGGTTGTGAGGTCGGCGCGTAAATGGACACCCCCGATGGATGGCAGGCTGAAGGATAAGCTGAAGGTCGATTCCACGTCTCTTCCATTCTCTTGCGCAGCCTGACGCACATCTGGCTACCAACCCTTAATGGTTCATTAAGCTATTACCTTTGCGAGCTCGCCACTAAGGTACCCGATTCACACGATAACGGTTGCACATTGCTGTCATGTCTCAAAGAGAGCAGCAGGTCATACCCGATAAGGATGGGAGACCTTTAAGGCAAAAGCGAATCAGGCCAATGCAAGGTGACTGGGTGCTGCTTCGGGAGATGGATCCAAACAGGCCAGATATTGCCCAAAGAGCGAGCGAGCAGGCCTTGGACTACGACTCTGGCACTGAGGATGACGAACCACCGGATTTGAACGAGGAACATGGAGACTTTACTTCCCCTAAGCGTCGAGCGATCACCAGAGAGTCTCCCACACATAGCCATATGCAAACGAAAGCGGATCAGCAGCCCGTTGCAATGTCTGGCTTGGGTATGGACAAGTCCAAAAGCCTAAACCCTGGTGCGAAAGCAAAAAGAACGCCGAAACGGAGCGTGATTTTAACTCAAGATCTACCTAAGCCACAAGACAGTTCATTCTCCAAAAACGAAAAAGATAACGACAATACTTCTGTGAGCCAGGAGCGTAGTGAAGAGAAGCCGAAAGAACCCGTAGATCACAGTGGTTTCCAAGGCGGAGGGCACGATCAAGCCTACGATCAGAAACCAGCCAAGAGAGTCCAAGTGAGGAGACACTCAGTCTCGCCGAGGCCTTCCAGTCCCAGACCGGATGTCACCGTTGACGGTCAAAGCCTGCCGAGTCGCAGCACTCTTAAATACGATGACAACAACGAGATTAGACTTCGCGTCGATGCCAGTCAGCCGTTATCGCTTCAGTTCGAGTTCGACGGCGATTTCGAAGGCCGGACGATGCGATTAGTTCCCACCGAAGATGGCATGGCAGACCTAGTCATATCGCCTGGTCGTGATCACAGTGACCAAACCCGTTACAGAACCTCTGGGAAGGGACATGAAGCTGGATCGGCACGAAACAGAAGACTTCCAGCCCGAATACCTTCCGTAAAGGCTGATGACTGTCGGAACAGGGTCCATACGGAACGGAGAGAGCATGAGCGTGCTGATCTCGCTTTGGTCGAGCATGAGCGTGTTGAGCGTGCGCGGAAACTTGAAAAACGCAACTCAAAAGTTTACCATCAAATTCCCGTAGACTTCGATGACAATACAGAGGAAGAGTCCGAGCAAGACGAAGCTCATGCAATACCTCTTCCTCCCCATCGCCGTCGTGGTGCCAGAGACACGGATGGTCGCAGACCTAGAGAGGTCCCGGCGATAGATTACATCAACTGGGCACGCGGTACTGATGTGCCATTAAATGATCACATATATCGTGCCGCAAAGAGACGTCCAAGGTCATCATTTACTCCAGGGCCCGACGACAAAGAAGATACGGGGGTTGATAAAGATGAGCAAAGCTCTAAAGCACCAGTTGAAACCAATCGTCATCGGATCGTGCATTCGGGGTCTGCTCGTGATGGTTCGCTTTCGATTAAACGACCCCCACCTCCTCGAATGTTTTCTGGCAGTTACCACGCAGACCCCCGGCCGACTTCAGGGCCCAATTATTATCAATCAGGGTCGGCTATTATACAACCTGCTATCGGGACAAGACGGAGAAGGCCGGCCATCCCGACCCGGCCGATTAGTTACTCAGAAGAGTCGGGACCGCAACATCATTGGACTTCTGGACGACCGGGCCAAAATCCCCTTTATGCTCACAAGGCGAGGGATTCACGAGATTCAAATGTTACGAAACCTCATACTGACATAGAAAAACCAAGAGAGACTTTGAGGCGGCGAACGAGCTTGACAATGGACACACCTCATGTGGATGTGAAACAGCCAGACATATCACCATATCCAATGCACACAACGGGTCGGGTGCCAGCCCCGTTAGTTCTCGACAATCAGGCCAATCTGCCCTCTGATAATGATGACGACAACGACTATCCCTATGCCAATGCCGAACGCAGGAAACCGAAGATAACTCAGAGAGACAGGTTTCCGTCGGAGCTGCAATCTGAATATCCTGTTCGTCACGGCTCAATCTACGTGGGCGATAGCACCAAAGCGGAGCGACGTCGATCGGCTCATTATGGACAGTCTTCCCATGAAGAGGCATACGCAGAGTATGTAAGGGATAGGCAGTTTGAGGAGAAACGCCACGCGGCTGAAGAAGCAGCTAGAAAGGAAGCCAAAGCTAAAAGAAAAGCCAGAAAGGAAGCCAAAACCAGGGAGCGTAATACGCAATCAGGCACTCTTCTGGGAGGAGATGGCACATCTCCATATACTCAGGTTGCTCCACCTCCCACTTATAGCGACACTAGGAGAGAATCGGTCTCTCATACTGCTTTTAAGCGACCGTCACAGTCGTCTGAATCGCAACAACCAGTTGTTTCTGCTGATAGTGCTACACTAAGTACATCCGCTCGGGCGAGCTCGTCTTCTCTTCTGCCTGATCGCATAACACCAGTAACCAGAGACTCATCACAATCCACCGATATGTCAGACACTTCAGTATCGAAAACTCCTGAAACCCTTCTTGAAGCTTCACAGATCTCTGCTTCTGAAAGCCCTGAAGAAACCTCGGAGTCTCAAAGTATAGCTGCAAACGATCCCAATCTCGAGATGTCTGAAGGAGATTCAGGAACATCTGATCGGATCTTGGGCTTTGGAAAGCGCACTCTTCTACCTGGATCCTGTTTGAATGAAGAGTCAGCAGCTCCAGAGGTGCTTGCTGAGTTCTTCATCGCACCGTCTACACCGGGCAGTACATACGCAGTCCCCCAGACTCTCCCCCATCAGCATCAGCAGGAGGAAGTCATCGTAGACATACAGGGAGAAGTGGGAACGGCATCAGAGACTTGTACAAATGTAGATGCATTGGAAACCACGACATTGAACCCGGACACAGCAGCTGCTGTAGGATTGAAATCTCCGTCAAACTTATCGGTGGATAATCACGGCGCCATCGACACATGGTTGGACGGTGGAGTCGCCGATGATAGTGGCGTGAACTTCGAATGGGAGTACGGCGATAGCCCATCAGGACCATCGTCTTACGCAGCATCGATCGCTTCAATATTCTCGGTGGCGTCTCTAGCATCCTCGGCATCGGATATGTCTAGAGGTAGTGGTTACTCTGCAGTTCAGATCGCGACAGCTACCAAGGTACTACTGGCAATCTTCTACGAAGACGAAACTCTATTGTCGCTGTATAAGAGTGCCATCGAAAACCAGGCTATTGGACCGGCAAGGCTGCAAAGGAATCTCCGACGACTGTTCCGAGCATACGCGGGTCTCTTGGAAGGCGAAGCTACAGAAAGACTGGAGTATCTGGCATCGCGGCTTGTGCTCATCAAGTCGGCTATGCTAGCACAGTCCATCGTTGAGAAGTTGCAAAATGGCCGAGCAGCCTTGCCATTATCTCGCAAAGAACGCAACGAAGAGAGTTCCGACGAGGAAGAAGATGTTGCGGATGTACGCACGGTAAATGAAGACGCCTTCGAGGATTTGGCCATCTTCCGCGAGTTCCTAGTGGAGAGCGAAGCTTTCAAGACATATCGTCTTCAACTGCAAGCATTTATAGTACCAAAATCGACACATTTGACGCACCTGGAGTCCGCGAGAAGTGAAGACATAGCGAACGCGGCGATAACAGAGGCCATTGCAGGGCAAGAGATGACCTCGACCTGGCAAGATTGGCGCAACGACTCCAAGAAGAGCACCGGTGGCTTTTTTGGGGGCGCATATGGGAAAATAACTGCGAGCAGTGTGTTGCTTCGTATGACCGATGCATTCATGTCAGCGACAGATGACGTTATGATTGCGGCAGGTCTACTGGAACCGCTTCTGAGACCAGACACAGTGCGCCTTCGATGGCAATGCGTATGTATTCCTGTTTCTCTTAAGTCTGTTCGGATGCTAAATTTGTAGCAGGCATGCGGCGAATCTCTTCACAGCGACGTTGCGGAGCTTCGCAGAGGAGGCATCGACGAACTCGTTGACCACATGCGACGTACCTCCGGTGCCAAGGTGCGCGTCTCGGCTCATAGCCATCAGTCTGGAAACCAGCAATACATTGCACCGCATCCCATACAGTGGATCCGAAAGGCAGTCACATCAATTTTTGGTGGCTCCACAAGGAGATCTTCGTCATGCCTTCCCCAGCACAACACACCGTGCACTGCTACCAGTACTACCAACAACCCGCAGTCTCAACAAAGCATTCTCCATCTACTGGCTTGCATGCATCGCAATCGACTCCGAAAGGTTCTGCAGCAGGAACGGATCGAAGATGTCACTACCGATCGCGCATTACTGTGCTTCTTGCGAAAGCAATACCTCCGTCACCGTGGTCGCTTTCTCCACATACTCTCGCTGAAGAGCGTCAAAGGCATCTCCTTCGTCAAATTCCGCCTTCCAATCGGTGGCAGTGTTGACGTGCGACACCATGACCCGTGTTGCGTCACCAACAGCACAGGACAAGTCAGTTGCGAGTGTATACCTCCTCCTCCAAAAGTTGAGCCTTCACCAGGAGCGGAGTATCGCTGCATCCCAGGCCCACCAGCCACATACCCACCAATACCACCAGTCTATCTTGCAAGCCTATTCACGTGTCCGACAGACGTCCACGAAAAGGATACATGGATACTAGACCAGCTCCCGAAGCGTACGTGTGGTGAGCTGCGAGGTCAGGTCGGGCAGCCTGCTGAGGGATGGGGTATTTACTACGATGAGGGCTTGGATCGCGATACGCTTGCGCTGACTGTTCTCGTGGTGTTTCTAATCGCTAGTGTGCTTTTTGGTGTTCTTTGGTCGCGGTTCCAGTATGATGTTCAAGGAGCGTTTGGCGTCAGCGCGTATATGGTGGCATGTTGCGCCGTACTGCTTCCTGTTATCGTCACGCGGTTGGAGAACAAGGGTTGATTTGTATTTGCACGAACTGAATCAGAGGGATCTCTCACTCCTCTTTTGGGGCCGCTATTCAATATTGAGACTTGTCCAGGATCGGGCAGTGCAAGCCCGTCATCCCTGGCAGTGCAACTCATGTCATAGTGTACTCCGAGGTATACAATGCTCTCAACAGATTCATTTGAAAATTTTCAGCTTAGCGAGTACCTCCCAGGTGATACGGAATGCGAGCTTCGCGGCGATGTGTTAGTATGGATGCAGTCGGAAGCTGCTAACCACGCCTCGAGACACACTCAGAAAGCAGATCATATGATGCAGTGAAGAGATATATGTAGCTATCCTGGATAGTATAGACTCACTGATCACAGTACTATAGTGTTCGGCCTGGTGCACGTGCGATGACGCACGCTCTTTCATCGCTCCTTCCTCCACTGCGCACTCACCTACTGAAAATTTTCCTCCGCTCACAACACTGCCACCTTCCACCACACCCACCCACCACAAAATTGGCCAAAACGGTCAAAAAGGCCCGGCTGAACTCCTTGAAAGCCTAACAAAAAGGCTCGAAGCGGCAAGGAAAAAGGTATGTATCCAGAACACTTAGTCACACCCAAACTAACATTTATCTTAGGATGCCACGCTCATAGCCGCCATGCAACGCAAGACCGACGAAACCATCAAAAGAAACTCGATCAGGTCGGTTAGCGCCATGGTAGTGACCATGGTCCTGACTGTACCGGCGAGACACTACTGATGTCGGTCCACTCCAGCCAAAAACAAGCACTTCTGCAGTGAATGGCGAAGCAAGTCAGTCTAAGGACACTATCAAGAGATGGAACAATGGCGCTAGGGAGCATTTCCTCGATATCGAGGCACCACAGAGTCTGTGGCTGTCTCACCGAAGATCGAGGATGGCATGGACGGTCTCAAGTAGAAGGCTACACAGAATCTGTGTCCTCTTTTGCTTGAGCGTTCGGGTGGGTTGGAAAGCCTTGAGGTTGAGGTACCCACAATATCATGTGGCTGTCTCACCGGAGATCGAGGTTGGTGTGGACGGTCTCAAGCAGAGGGTCGCGCAGAGTCTGTGCCATCTTTTGCTTGAACGTTCGGGTGGATTGGAGAACCTTGAGGTTGAGGTACCACAGTATTCTGTGGCTGTCTCACCGGAGATCGAGGCTGGTATGGATGCCCTCAAGGAAGATGGCCTGGGCAGGCTCGGTGTCTTCTTTGCTTGAGCGGGCGGATAACACAGGCTGACGCTGTAACCTCTTTACATGAGAGGCACAGTGTGGAAGAGCTGGCAATAAAGGTCGCAGGTCAATGCTTTGGCTTCTTTACTCATGGGCATGCCATTGAGGGCGCCAAGATGGAGGCAGCGACAGCTGAAGATGTGGTTGCTTTGCTCAGGAACTAGGGCCGGGCAGTGTCCGGACGAAGGTGGCGCAGACCGACGCTTTGGCTTCTTATCAAAGAAGTACGGCGACGAGAGCGTCAAGAAGAGGGCGGCGATGGTTGATTACATCCTTGCTTTGCTTCGGGATTATGAGATGAGGTCTCCGGAGAAAGATGGCACGGCTGATGCTGTGTTTTCCTTGCTCCGAGAGATCGATGGCGCGCAGCATGTCGAGGACTCGGTCACTCAGTGAGACAGGGCTGGCGTCATGGGACTTCCGGCAGCGTTGGCCATATATGAACATGCGTTGCGCTGTTGGTTTCCCTGTGGTAGTCGTGGGTGGAGGGTCAAATCAGACCTACATGTTCGGTACTCCTTACAATTCGATATCTTACAATATATCCTGGAGATACTCAAAACTTACTACACCTGTGAACGCTACCTTCCCGACTCGATGTATACAACTGGCATGTTCTTCGTGTTGACATCAGCAGACACATCTCGGCATGTATCCGTCTCGCAGCGCCTTCAACTTGTTGCTGTCGCGTGATTGTGTACTGTATGCTGTAGTAACAACTTCGATTCGAACGCCGTCTAATGCATTGGTCTATAGGGTATCATGCCTCAATCCATATCCTCTAATCCGCCAGCATCACTCGGCGCCTGCTCTTCACTAACCATAATACCCACCATACACTCGCCGAGCATGTTCTCCCAATTCACCCACGGATGGACTTCCATAAACAGCTTCGTCCCGTCCTTGCCGGCCGCTCTCTTCAGCTCGCCCTCTCCACCGGGATGAAACGGCAGATAGGGCGAGATGTTATATACCTTACCCTGATAGCTCGACCACGCGGGCTTCCCCTTCCGGCCATTTTTCTCCTTGAGCATAGCGGGTGTAACGCGTATCATCGAGTCCACACCCGACAAGTTCTTGCCTGACTTCTGCAGGTAGGCCCAGTCGAGTGGCGAGTGGCCGGGCGACAGGAGTACCTTGCCTCGTGCGTTTGGTGTCTTGAGTGAGGCGCCAGCGGTGGGTGGAAGCCCCAGGCCGCCGTTTGAGGTCGGTGGGCCGCGATTGGGTAGCGGGCCGCGGTTCGGAAGGGGCCCGGTTGTGGGTACGCGCATTGACTGGGTGGAGGTGTTGGGGAGGGCGCGCAGGTTTGAAGCTGCGACTCGGGGTGGCGGCATGAGAGAGGTTGTGGGCTTTGGTGGCGGGGCCATGAGCGAGGGCTTGCTGGGTGGAGGCATGGTGGACGGAGGGGGCATGGCGGATAGCGAGGGCGGCTTCGAGGCTCGCTGGGCGGAGTTCATGGCTGGGAAGGAGGGCGGCGGGAGGTTGTCTTCTTCATCTTCGTCGGAGCTCTCGTGCTCGTTGAGCGTGAAGGTAGGTACTGCAGGCGCATCCTTTTCAGAGGCTGGCGCAGCTTTTGGTGTGGATTCAGGCGATGGGCTCTTTGCGTTCACTCTAGTATCTTCATGCTTTGTTGGAGTCTGCAGCTCTATGCGCTGCTCCGCCGCGGGGGTGCGGTGGTCTGTCTCGCCATGCTGCGACTTCTCAGGTATCGACGACGCGCCAGAGCGTGTGAAGCGAGTAATGAAGGCGAGCCATGTCGAGGGCGGGCGCTGGTAGACCAGGAAGGACAGCGAGAGGGCCAGAATCGAGACGGCAACGAGCATCTCTTGGGTCTATGCGAGGTAAGGAGCGACGGTTGCTGGACCCTGGGGCGTGTGAAGAGCGGAACGAGTCCAGGCTTCATGCGCCTCCAGGGTTTCTTGACTGGTAGGGCTGACGGCAATCGGCGCTAGCCTTCGATGACTTCACGCGCCGCATGCCGTCACTGCTCGGAACATATTCTGTCTGGTGAATGCACACATTTACGCATTGACTTTTGTCTCACGCCTCTACAATCGCACGAGGTTCTCATTCTCTTCCACGGTTACGCGCGACCCACTCTACGCGCCCTTATAACCTCGCGCCTGCCCCACCACCCCTCCATCTATCGCGATCGCAAGTCCAACCCTGAGGCTGAATCACACAATCGCGCAATACACCCACACACAACCATGGCCGCGGAACCAGCCAACCTGCCCGAGGGCATCATCTCCCTCTTAGATACCGATCTCTACAAGCTGACTATGCAATGTTGCATACTCAAGTTCTTCCCAGATGTCTCAGTCACCTACGGCTTCACAAACCGCACGCCCGACAAGAAGCTGAATCGCGCAGCCTTCAAGTGGTTACAAGCGCAAGTAGATAGTATGTCTTTTCCTCCCTGCTGTTTCTACAATGGCTAACCCTCCAGAACTCGAGAACATAACCGTGTCCGACGCCGAAATCACCTTCCTCAAGAACACTTGCCCCTACCTGAACGCGCAATACCTCCATTTCCTCTCCACGTTCCGCCTCAAGCCCTCCAAACAGCTCAAGCTATCTTTCCAACCCGCGAATGATACCGGATCAGACAGCGACAGCGGCGACTTCCACATCCACACCGAGGGCCTCTGGCTAGATACCATCCTGTACGAAATTCCGTTACTCGCGCTGGTTAGCGAGGCATATTTCAAGTTCGTCGAGACAGACTGGAGCCATGAGGGCCAAGTCGAAAAGGCATACCAGAAGGGACGGAGTCTGTTGGAGGGCGGATGCATCTTCTCTGAGTTTGGCTCGCGGAGACGTCGCGACTACCACACTCAGGATCTAGTGCTGCAGGGCTTGCGCCGGGCGGCTGACGAGGGCGACAAGGCAGGGTGGAAAGGCAAACTCTCAGGGACGAGCAATGTCCATTTCGCCATGAAGCACGGCCTCGTTCCTGTGGGCACCGTCGCGCACGAATGGTTCATGGGTGTGGCTGCCATTACCAACAACTACGAGAGCGCAAACGAGATTGCCCTGGAATACTGGACAGCGACGTTTGGCGCAGGCGTCTTGAGCATCGCACTCACGGATACCTTCGGCACACCGACCTTCCTGAGAGCCTTCAAGAAGCAGATTCCTCGCGTTACCACGGCTATCCCAGGCGGTGGCACAACGCTGGCGTCAGCTGGCCAAACCACCAACAACGATGCCGTGGAGACAATGGCGTCAACCAACCCGCCGATCCAAGCACCATACGACGGAAATCTAGGATCGAGGCAGACTTATGCCGAGGTGTTCGCAGGTGTGCGACAGGACTCTGGAGACCCGTTGGAGTTCATCAAGATGATGCGCGACTTCTACGACCAGGAAGGCATCAAGGATAAAAAGACCATCGTATTCTCCGACTCTTTGAACCTTGAGCTGTGCTTCAAATACAAGGCTGCAGCGGAAGCAGCAGGGTTCCAGCCCACTTTCGGTGTTGGAACATTCCTGACAAGTAAGTGCGCGAGTAGGAATGGTGCAAGACATGGCTGACCATGACAGATGATTTTGTCGAGCAAACAACAGGCAACAAGTCTGTGCCCCTCAACATTGTGATCAAGATCGCCTCGGCTGCGGGGCGTTACGCCGTCAAGATTAGCGACAACATTGGCAAGAACACAGGAGACAAGGCGACAGTAAATGAAGTCAAGCAGCGACTAGGCTACCAGGAGAAGTCGTGGGCTGGGGGCGATGAGAAGACGCGCTGGGGGACTGCAGGCGCGCCAGCCACTTAGTATGTGCGGTGTGCATCTCATCCGGTGGGGCGTATATGTTGGCTAGACTTGAGCTCCCAAGCTGCAGAGACGTGGAGTCCAACCAAGAAGTGGAGGCGTTCATAAGCTGAGATGCGGTCTGCAAGGCTGAGTCTAGCGCAGACCTTCCTGCGATGACCGTGAAGCTGCGTCAGCGCTGTGGCCGACTCGGAGACTCTTTACGAGATGAGGCGAAAGTCAAGAGTAAATGCGAAAGTAGTGCAAGCGAATAGCAGGTTTGCAGCCCAAAGAGTGCCCAGGTGCCTTCTAGACGCCGAAGCATGTGCGTGTGCCAAAATTAGAGTGAGGTTCTTCGCCGCTGCGGGTCAACGACGCGCCGCTGCTTACCAGCCCCATGGAGCTAGCCCAGCGCCTCCTGCATGTGCGGTCCACTCTGCCACTCAGCCCCAGGAAACATCGCAGAGCTGAAACACATTTATCTTCTGTCGCCAGCCTTTGTACAGCATTGACAACATTGATTCGAGCTCAAGCGCGTTTGACCTCAATTCACCCTTCGCCTAGTCACGAACCCACCGCTACTCTAGTGCCGCTTCCCGCGTTTGCAGTCGGCTGTCTCAGGAGTCTTCACGTCCACTCAGACCACACAGGGCCTGTTTCAGAATGAGCGTAAGTTCCCTCTCTGTCAGCGTACCCGCTTGACTGTGCCCTCCTACAACACCATCACTCCACTACACTACACATTTACACACGCTGACCATGGCTGCTGCGGACGAACAGTACGGAAACAAGGGCTACGGCCAGATAGGATCATATGGCGGTAACCCCTACGACGCACGCGACGCCAGCCCGGCTGGCTACAACAACTACAACCAGGGCGGCTATGGTACGTCTTCAATGCGCCACACTTCAACGGCTATCTCTAACACAGCACAGGCGATGTAGAGATGCAAAACTACCCAGGCGGTGGCGCCAGCACGAACCCCAATGCCATCCTCGACGAATGCCGCGAAGTCGACCGCGCCCTCGACGACCTCGATGCCCAGCTCAGCAACCTCGACCGTGTCTTCAAGCAGTCATTGGCGCGCCCAGACATGCCCTCGGGCGAGATCAACAACCTCAGCTCGCAGATCATGACCGGCTACCGTGGCCTCGTCGGCCGCGTCAAGGCCATCAAGTCGAAGCCCGACTCAGGTCACCCAAGGAACGCTCCACAAGTCGGCAAGGTCG